CAGCCGTCGGTTATGTTGTTACTGGGGCTCTGTTGGCCCAGAATCTGGTTTACTGCACACTTGCATTTGTGTTCCATACCCTGTACAACAGCAACTTTGCAAAGTGCCCTCTCCCACTCTGGGACCCCTTGGGGGATGTCGAAGAGACAGTTTTGGTCCAATCCTTGCAGGCTAGGCCAAGGGACCCCACCTGCCAGAGGGACCCCACTCATTCCGCAGATGCCCTTCAAGCCACTGTGCCACCCTAGGTGCAGTCGGCTGGGAAGGGACGGTGGGAGGTTGGTTCCAGGGTGTGTCTGGCCCAACTTGCCCAGTCTTTTTTAAGAGTTTTTTGTTTTTGTTTCGTTTTTTAATATATTTTATTGATTTTTTACAGAGAGGGAGAGCGATAAAGAGCTAGAAACATTGATGAGAGAGAAACATCGACCAGCTGCCTCTTGCACAGCCCCCACTGGGGATGTGCCCGCAACCAACGTACATGCCCTTGACCCGAATCGAACCAGGGACCTTTCAGTCCGCAGACTGAATGCTCTATTCACTGAGCTGAACCGGTTTCAGCTATCTTGCCCAGTTTTGCTAGCCACCTTCTAATTCAGTGGTCGCCAACCTTTTGGACATTATGCACCACCAGTGGTCCGTGGACCACCAGTTGGCGACTGCTCTTCTAATTAATTTCCTTTCAATGTGCACGAATCCGTGCACTAGGTCACTAGTCATTAATAACGAACTACAATGTTCGCTAATGATTGATGACTGTATTCATGTTGCATTCATTTTCCTTACAAGCTTTACATGCAGGAACACCATTTTCCCCCACTAATACTAGCAGTGAATATTTTAGCAGCCAATTGCTATGTCATCAGTTTTGTACTGACTTGTTTGATGTGTGCAACAGGAAATATTTCACTTTTGCAGAACAAGAAAAATAGGTTTATTTGCATTCTACTTATTAATTTGTGCAGTTATTTAATGTCTGGTAAGTTAATGTTCAAGAAAAAAAATATTAATTTTTATTAAAAGGTTCTATTATTTTATATTAATGATGACTCATTTATTTCAGTCATTTGTATTCAACATGTCTCTATGGAAATAAACCTATGTTTCTATGAAAATTGAAGCTTTTGTTTTTTTATGGCCCACATAAATGTAAACCTTGCTTATTTGGCCCATGTTAGCCTTTGAGTTTGATATTCTTTGTCTAAAAATTATAGTGAGCCCTGGCCAGGTAGCTTAGTTGGTTAGAGTGTTGTCAGAAATTGTAAGGTTGCAGGTTCAATCCCTGGTCAGGGCACATAAAAGAATCAACCAACGAATGTATAAATAAGTTGGACAACAAATCAATGTTTCTGTCTCTCTAATTTATTAAAAAATTAATAAATTGGACCTGGCTGGTTTCTCTCAGTGGATGGAGCAACAGCCTGTGGACTAAAGGGTCAAGGATTTGATTCCAGTCAAGGGCACATGCCTGTGTTGTGGTCTTCGTCCCCAGTGTGAGGCATGCAGGAGGCAGCAGATCAATGATTCTCTCTCATCATTGATGTTTCTATCTCTCTTTCTCTCCATTTCTCTCTGGAATCAATAAAGATATATTAAAAATTAATAAATTAAAAATTAAAGGTTACAGTGAAACTCTCCATTCAGTACAAATAAGCCCAGATTGAGATAGTACTTTCTGTCTCAGCCCTGATCAGCAAAGTCCTCAAAGAACTGCCAAGAGAGAAACAAGCAAGAGAAAGAAGCACAGTGAAAATATCACTTTTTAAATTGATTTTCTTTCTTTCTTTCTTTTTAGAGAGAGGAAGGGAGAGGGAGAGAAACATTCTTGGGCACATTAGATTGAACTCAAAACCTGGGTTTGTGCACTGACTGGGAATGGAACTGGCAAACTTTCAGTGCATGGGATAATGCTCAACCAACTGAGCCACAATGGCCAGGGCTGGAAATAGCACTTTTGGTGATATTGTTAACATTGCTCAACAGATACAGCACTCATCTTTAGCTAGATAGTCTCTGGAACCATTAAAGAGATTCTGGGAACTGCCCAGTCTGTAGTCCTTAAAGTTGAAGGCTGTCACCCTCATGACATCAACATGGTTCAGTGAAATGTCCAGTTAATTAAGAATCACAAAGTAACCCTGGCTGGTTTGGATAGAGTGTTGGCCTGCAGACTGAAAGGTCCCGGGTTTGATTCTGGTCAAGGGCACAGGCCTGAGTTGTGGGCTTAATTCCCAATAGGGGGTGTGCAGAAGACAGCCAATCAATGGTTCTCTCTCATCACTGATGTTTCTATCTCTCTCTCCATCCTCCTTCCTCTCTAAGGTCAATAAAAATATATTAAAAAAAAGAAGATCCACAAAAGAAAATATTTCAATTAAAGATCATTTGACAAATCAAAAAAAATGAGAGGGGGACCCAGAAAAATATATGCTGTAATTATACATGAAATATATGAAGCCATAAAAATGTTGTAGGTTAATATTTATCAGCATGATAATATGTTTATGCTACATCAAATGAAAAATGTTAAATATTAAAGATATAAAAAGCAACAAAAAATTTGACAGCAATCATCTAGAAACAGTTTGATATAGGAGACAGCCTTATGCTGGGAGTCAAGATAACTGTTTTAGCCCGCATGTTGTTACTAGCCCTTTGGGTGATTTCAAGCAAGTCACATCTTTCTGGGCCTCTGTAACTCCATCTTTAAAATGTGGAGTTGGATGAAACGTGGCTTTAAACTGTGTTCTGAAATTGCAACATTTCTGTAATAGTGGGAGGGCACATGAAAAGAAGAGAGGGGGCAAAGGGAGGTTTGGTGAGCAGGTTTATGGATTCCTTATTTCCACTTCAAATTTAGTAATGTCATTTTAAGTCATCAGATTTTATTAGAAGGGAATATTCCACTAATAATAAAGTCAGGTGGAAACTACTAGACCTTTCATGTACCCACCTTCCCTGGAACTACTTTTTCTTAGCTTTTCTTCTCATTTCCACCTTGTTCTGAATATAGAATGAAAGATTCTGACTGAACTATATACATTGTAAAATTCTGGCTGAAATATATTCTTTTCTTTTGGCTCTTCTCCCTTTTTCCCTATGTAGAAGTGAAATTAAAGATGAACAAGCCTGCCGAAACCGGTTTGGCTCAGTGGTAGAGCGTCGGTCTGTGGACTGAAGGGTCCCGGGTTCGATTCTGGTCAAGGGCATGTACCTTGGTTGCGGGCATATCCCCGGTAGGGGGTGTGCAAGAGGCAGCTGGTCGATATTTCTCTCTCATCGACGTTTCTAGCTCTCTCTCTCTCTCTCTTCTTCTCTGTAAAAAATCAATAAAATATTAAAAAAAAAAAAAAAAGATGAACAGGCCTAAGCAAGAATCAGCATGGAAACTTCCAGCAATTTCGAAGGTAGTTTTCAGAAAAATTAGGCAAGTTCTCAGTTTCAAAAGAGCTACCAAGTGACACACAAAAGTTAAAATGATAAACAGAAGTTTACATCTCATTATCCTGTGATTTTAGGAGGTACTTTTGAAAAAAAAAAAAAGTTTTTTTTTTCTTTTTTCTTTTTTGGTCATGGGAATGATCTTCAGAGGTAACTTCTTGGCATTTCTTACATATGATCTCCCTAAACTATCATCATGAAAACCATTAGAGCAATTTTCTCCACCTTAATGTAGGGGACTGGAATGAATCAAGGCCCCATTCTCTTCGGGCATCCTCAGCTTTGGTTTCAGGGCAAGATAGACCCAAATCTATTTTCCAGTTTTCTGGTTAGAGATGAAGAAGAATAACTTTAAGTCAAATTCTCAAAGCTGCTACAATGGAGGCAAGTGAGGACACAAAATAATTTCAAACCATGGCACATCTTCAGAGTAGAATTACAAATTTCTTAAAGTATCGTAGAACTTTAATCTTCTAGGTTAAAAAAATTACCTTTTGGTTTGAAGATAGCTTGGTGTGTTGAAAAGCCTGGATGAAGGTGACTGAAATCTTCAGTCTATTCACACCAGCCTCTAAGAGGCCTGGGACAAATCACTTCCCTTGACCAAGCTCCAATTTTACCATTGGGAGTATTGGAGTAGATGGTCCCTAAAATCCTCTTGATTTAGATATTCTAAGGACAAATTATTGAGGAAACTCTCTCCAGTTGTTCAGTCTTCAGAATCACCAGAGGATCTAATTTGAGGTTAGGCAACCAGTTGGCCCTTAATGTTCTGCGCTCTGTGCATCAGACCATGCTGTCTAAAAGGCAGGAAAGCTGTGTCTCCTTGAAATGACTGGCTGTCCTCTCATTGATTGGGATTTTTCACCTTCAGAGGTCCACTGAGAACTTCAGTCCACCATCATTTTCTCTACACATTGGTATTTCTGCAATCAGGTGTAAGATGGTGACCTGGACCACCCCCAACACCATTTCCCCCAATTCTCCAGATAGCCCTTTCACTAATTTCTTTCATTCCTCCTCCATCATTGTGTCACGGCCCCTTTAAGGCAGCGGCCATAGTTGAGTGGTGGGAGTAGCTGTTGGCAAGCAGAGACTCGCAGGATTTGGCCTACCCTGGGCCACTTACCGCGCAGGCTCAGGACCCGGGGCTTGATGGGAAAGGAGGGAGGGGCTTACGGTGCGCCTGCGCACCAGGGGCGCGCGCAAGGGGCTGGTTTAGTGATCCCTTTAAGAAACCGCAGGCGGAGGAATTTCTCTGAGAGAAAATAATCCTACTCACGGGGCCCCTTGGAGGCCATTAACCCCCCGAGTCCCAGCCCCCACCCCCTTTCCTGGGCAGGCCCTACCGCCCACGCGCGCGCCCGTGGGATCGCAAGCTATCCCACCCGGCGCGCAGCACCCGCCGCCTCCCCGCTCGGAGGCACCAGGTTCGGCCGGATCCCAGGAAGCTGCCTTTGAGGCGGCCGTGGCTGCAGTGTGGGCGGGGGCCGGGGGCCCGAGAGGTGCCACCGCCACCGCCACCGCGCCGGGAGCCGCAGCGGTTCCAAGCGGGGCCCAACATGGCGGAGAGAGAGGTGGAGTCCGGCCCCCGAAGGAGGGTAGGTGAGGTGAGGCTGAACTCGGGTGGCGGGCGGCGGGGGGGCGGGGCGGGAGCTGCGTCCCGGGCCGGGGCCGGGGCCGGGGCCGGGGCCCGGAATGGCCAGGCGCAGGCTCGTCGAGGGTCGCCGAGTCCGGGTTCGGGGAAGGTGGCGGGCCGGACTGAGGCCACCATGGGTCTGGAGCGCGCTGGAGAGTACTCCTCGGGCAGGTGGGACAAAGATTTGCTGCGGGTTGGGAGTGGGAGGGGGAGGGGAAAGGAAAGGGAGAGGGATGTTTGCTTTTGCAAATTTTTTCACCACCCCCCCCCTCCCCAGCATTGGGGGTCGGTTCCTTGGGCCTGGGGAGGGGACGTGTCAGAGTCGCAAGTGCATCTTTCCCAAATCGGTCTGGAAGTTTCACCGGGGAGAGGACCGGCGCGGGGGGCGGCGGCGGCGGGAATGAAGTCGCGAGGGGGGTCTCCTGAGGGGTAACCGGAGGGTTCTGTGGTAACACCGTCGCCGATTCCTTCTCCTCCCTCCTGTACCTCCTCTCCCCGTCACCGTTATACAGACCGCGGTAGAGGTCGCGCTCTTCCCACCTGTGAACAAGTGGGGGTCGTCGGCATGTCCTGATTTAGGAGAAAGGTTTTTGGCAACTCTAAAATGCCAAGTGTTCTCGTCTGGTTTCTTTGCCAACAATTAACGTGGGAAGAGTAGGGCAAGTTTTGTCAACACAAGGCTGTGTCTGCAGAGGTGAAGCCAGTGCTGGAAAGGTTGAACTTAGAAAGTTTGTCTTGAAACTTTTAAAATTTAATTCCAGATGACTCCCCCCCTACTCCCCTTCAGATGGAGAACAATATTGTGCTATCGATTGAGCGATATTTTTCAGACTTGTACGGTTCCCCCTCCTTTTTCCTCCCCCGGAATGTTAAGCAGTGTGAGTTCGCTATCAGGAATCTTTCTTTTGGGAATGGTCTCACATAGATCAAATTAGTGCTAAGCCAACTACGGGGGGAAGAAATTATTAATCTTTCTAAAGATGTGTTTTTATTGACTTTAGAGAGAGGAAGGGAGAGAGCATCGATGAGAATCTGAGAATTGGCTGCCCCCCTCTGTACCCGCTATTGGGGACGCGCTGGCCATCAGGGCTAGTGGCCTGACCAGGAATCCAGCCGGTGACCTCTTGGTTCGTGGGTGCACGTCCAACCACACCAGCCGGGCACTACTTAATCTTTATTGAGAATGATCTTTCTTAGTGCAAAATTAGCAATCTCATGATATTAATGTCTAACATTTTGAGTAAGTGCTTATGATATGCCTGGCACTGTGGTTTCTAGGAAAAATTTAACTTCACATTAACTCTGTGTAAAACCCATTTTTTTCAGATGAAGAGAAATGTAGGCATAGTGGGGTGAAGTAATTAAGATCAGATAGCTAGTTAAGACATTGAGCTGGGATTTCAATCCTTGTGTTGGACGCCATATAGGCGTTTCTTTAATCTATGTTTCTCTCCTTAAAAGCTTGAATTATAAATAGCCAAAAAAGTGTCTAGTATTTTTTTCAACAATTTATTAGGAAAATATTTTCAACTACACAGCAAAATCGAAAAGTTTACAGGGAACATTCATATACCCACAACCTAGATTTACCATTAATATTTTACTGTACTTGTTTTTTTCTATTTTTTAAAATATATTTTATTGATTTTTTACAGAGAGGAGAGAGGGATAGAGAGCTAGAAACGTCGATGAGAGAGAAACATTGACCAGCTGCCTCTTGCACACTCCCCACCGGGGTTGTGCCCGCAACCAAGGTACATGCCCTTGACCGGAATCGAACCTGGGACCCTTCAGTCTGAAGACCGACGCTCTACCGCTGGGCCAAACCGGTTTTGGCTACTATACTTGTTTTAATCACATGTTTAGCTATACTTTATCCATTCACCAGTTATTTAGGCATTTCCTTGTATTTTAGCAATTAAAATTTAATGTTTATAGTCTTAGTTTTATAAAATTTTAGATCCTCATGCAATAATTAGTCATAGATAGGACACGTTAAGCTGTATGAAATAGGTTCAAGTGGTTCATTTAATATAAATATTGGGTGTGGAATGCACGTGTTTTTAAATTTTAAATTTTTCTTCAAGCTTTGAGTTTTATTTTTTGCCTTTAGAAAATTCTTTTATTTATTTATTTTTATTTTTATTTATTTTTATATATATTTTATTGATTTTGTACAGAGAGGAAGGGAGAGAGATAGAGAGTTAGAAACATCGTTGAGAGAGTCATCGATCAGCTGCCTCTTGCACACCCCCTACTGGGGATATGCCCGCAACCAAGGTACATGCCCTTGACGGGAATCAAACCCGGATCCCTTCAGTCCCCAAGCCGATGCTCTTATCCATTGAGCTAAACCGGTCTCGGCAAAATTCTTTTATTTTTAAAATCTCCCAATATCTCTATTTTTCTTATATAAAACTGTGGAGAGTGAAATTAAAAAAAAAAAGTTCAGAGGTCTAAATCTACTGAATTTGTTTTTTCTTAAAAAAATAAAACCCCCAAAAGGAAAGTCAATAATTTTTATACAAATATGTACAAAAAATTCCCCTCCCTTCCCCACCATACAGAGTGTAGATGCTGTCAGGGTACATTTTGGAAAAGTAGGTTTTTGTGTGGAAACCTATTCCGCCAGGGGCATGCTGAGAGTTTGATCCACCAGCCTAGGTGTGCTACAAGCTTTGAGTTTTAAACGATTCTTCCTCATTAGGTTTGACCATAGGGCATATGGCCACCAATTAAAATAATGGGGGTAAATTACTTTAGATATTTAACGTCATTCAAGGAGATCTCTGAATTCTTCTACTAAAGTTGTTGTTATTCACCTTATAAAATATAATGTTCTAGAAAACATCTATGCACTTTGGTAACAAATTCACATATTCTTCTTTCTTATTATACACTTAAAACTTTTAACTGTCTAAACTTCTTGGCTGTCTAAACTTTTTTAACAACATGTAAAATACATAGCACTTGTGCAGGTTTCCCTTTAGTTTTACCAGTTTCATTGTAGTGGAGGGTTACATTCAGTACCTTTTGGGCTCCCTAATTCATTTAAAAAATATATATATATTTTATTGATTTTTTTACAGAGAGGAAGCGAGAGGGATAGAGAGTTAGAAACATCAATGAGAGAGAATCATCGATTAGCTGCCTCTTGCACACCCCCTACTGGGGATGTGCCCGCAACCAACATACATGCCCTTGACCGGAATCGAACGTGGGACATTTCAGTCCACAGGCCGATGCTCTATCCACTGAGCCAAACTGGTTTCAGCCCATTTTTGATATTTGGTTAGAATGTTCAGTAGGGTTGTTGTGAATGGTACACGTGGTACATGTGTGCTTTTTCTATGTGGCACCACTCGCAGCGACCTCACATGGATCCCATCATGCACCTGTGTGCGTGATAAACTCCACCTGGATTCCATCTCCTGCATGCACAATGAACGTGGATTCCATCCCGTGTGTGGGAGATAAACTCCATGTCAATTCCATATGTATTCTCCAAGGAGATTAGTAGGGACTATACAGTACAGTATCTTTTAAAATAACTTGACTGTTTGCTTTGAATTAAGTTTAAACAAACAAAATAATAGGCCTAGATGATAACTTTCGGTTATTTAATCTGAAATTGCATTGTATTTATGATGCTTACTGCCTTTGACTTTTATAATCATAACTCACAAAAAGTTGTTAATCACATATGTTAATTGATGAGCTCTATGCGAGGCATTGTGTTATGGTATTTGTGATTATTAGGATAATATATTTTGGCTCTTGCTAAATTGTGAACTCCTTTCTCATAGAGCCCATATTTCATTGCTTTTTTGCATTTCTGATACCTGTGATATTCACATAATGGGAACTCAGAAAACATATTGATTTTTGGTAAGAGAATTTTACCTGTTACATTAGAGGCTCTATGGCTTTAGTACCAAGTTATCTGCTTTGTATTTTTGGGAGCTTCTGTAAATCTTATCATCCTCTTTATCCCAAAGTTCTCTCCTGTGGATCCAGATTTAGGAATCTTCTGATTTTTCTGGGTTATGGTAAGGTGGGAGAGTGTATTTTAAGATCAGTGGTTTAGCAACCTTAAAGTTCTTTGTAGGCTTGTTCTAAGTAGCAAAATTATTTTATGTTTGGATATTATAACACTGTCATAAAGCATGGTATCTAATGAAATCTGGTGTCCATATTTTTGTGTGAAATCCCTATGTCTCTTAAAAGTTTACATAGGAAATAATATCTTTTGTAAATGTACGTATTTTACCTGGTCTAGTAAGTTGTATCAGTTTCATATTTGAACTTCTCTGAATATTAAATTTGATTTGGTATGCTTAAAAGAAAGAGAAGGTATATTTATAAGTAGTATGTTTCCATTTTTGTAAAAACAAATGGTCCTTTCTTCTTTTCCCATATATGTATCTATACTTGTATGTGAATGAACTTGGAGCAAGTTGTGGAGGATCCAGGCCAGGCTATTACTATTTTTTAAAAAAATAAATCTTTATTGTTCAGATTATTACAAATGTGATCCTCTTCCCCTCCTCAATTGCTCCCCTCCACCAGGTTCCCACTCCACCCTCTGTCCTTTCCCCATCCCCCATTGTCCTCATCCATAGGTGCACAGTTTTTGTTCAGTCTCTTCCCGTACCCCCCCTCCCCCTTTCCCCGAGAATCGTCAGTGCACTCCCCTTCCATACCTCTTATTCTATTATATTCACCAGTTAATATTGTTCATCAGATTTTTTAATTCCCTTGGTTTTTAGATTCACTTGTTGATAGTTACATATTTGTTGATCATAATTTTTATCTTTATCTTCTTCCTCTTCCTAAATAACCCCCTTCAGCAATTCATATAATTCTGGTTTGGTGGTGATGAACTCTTTTAGCTTTTTTTTTTATTTGTGAAGCTCTTTATCTGTCCTTTGATTCTGAGTGATAGCTTTGATGGGTAGATTA